TAATTGGAAATGAAAACATATTTGGATATTATCATTGATGCCATTCAGCTTTCAAATTATCAAAGTGGCAGATCTGGTAAAATCTACACACCTACACCCCACATGTTCCATCTCTTTCTCTCTAAACCACTAAGGAGGGCAGCAAAATAAAATGTTGTTGTATATTAGGTGCAAGAATAATAAAATCCCCAACTCGAGTCAGTAACCAAAGTAAACTTCTCTCCCTCTTTCCGAAGGTTACCCCACGCTGGTTTGATTCCACGCACAGAGAGTAAAAGAGTTTTGATTATATCGAAAATAAAAGGGGTAAGTCATCCCAACATTTGCAAACACACACTCGCACAAGCTGAGAGAAATTTGAATAGCTAATACTGGGTATCCTTACGAATAATGTTTGTTGCTCTATGACCGGCTATGTCATGACCAATGAAAACATCAGCAGCACCATGGTGACCACCAGTCAAGTTTACATTGCCCATCGCCATATTGTCGAAAGTCAGGTGATGGTTGTTGTGGTTGTTTTCCTTTATTGATTTTCTAAAGGTGTATATAGGTGAGGATGGTTTGGGGGCCGAATGATGGTGGGCAGACGTTTGTATTGTGGGTGTTATTGTTGACTTGTCCCACACGCTATGTGTTGTTGCTGCTGTTGTGTTTTTTCTGCTTTGTTAGCCATCATCAAGTAATTTGTTATTGTTGTTATTTTCTAAACATATACAAACACAGCAGGAACGCAAGAAAAAGCAAACAAAAAAGGTTGCTCTCGCTCTTACTCCGGTTTTGGTGTCTAACCGAACCTCAAATGACGGTTTTACAGGTTTGGCAAATAACAACAACAAAAACATTCGTAACAACAACAATAATAATAATATGAGTACAGGAGTAAGGCGGGAATTTCGAACCACAAACCATTCAAATTCAACTGCATTTCTTTCTCATTTAATACTCTACGCTCTCTTTCACATTTAAGGTAGAGAGTTGGTAATAGGGTTGCCTCTTCTCAGTTGTATGATAGAACTGTGGGATAAGAGACGGAGGATTTACTATGCCATTCCGTTTTTTCTGTCTCGTAATATTTATGCCAGAAATGGATCGTATGTTAGAGACATACGAACTGTTTTGCGAACTACTTTTTGGAATCCGAGTTAGGGGAGAAATGTTATGTTCACGTATGTTTGTACGTGAACAAATTTGCGGTAAGAAGGTTTAAAAATGGAAGTATTGCAAGTGTACTGGGAAGCATGGAGGCGAGTCACTAATGGCACTGGGCCCTTTTTCTTTTTATGGTGTTCGATCTATTTATGTGATTTATGAAGTAATGGATCGGATTGTTTATACAAATGTGTTGGAAAACGCAATGCCTTCCTTCGCTGTAGAAAATATACCGCTTATTTGGGTATTTCAGATTAACAATTACCTCAAAAATACATCGAAACATGTCAGAGATTGGTTGCGATAGTCAAAAATCAGGGTTTTATAATGGCCAGCACAACCATCAGATCTTCTGCCTATAGAAAAATCTTTGGAGTATAGAAAAATACAAAAATTGTCACAAACAAACACATCTTCGCAAAGGTTCAGGATTTTGCCAAATTAGTTTTCCATATAATATTTATTCCCTACACAAGTACTTTGTCAGGGTATTATAGCTTTGTGCAGCCCCAAGAGTTTGTAACGCCGATAAATATTGGTCCCAGACCCACCTTTAAGTATACCGATCGTCATATCTCGACTAGCTGAGTCGATCTACACGGAGGAAAAAATCGCCTCTCTAACATATGTCCCAAACATATTTTGCAGCAAACATATATTTGTTTGCAACAGTCCCAAACATAATATATATTTGGGTCCCAAACATAACATATGTTTGCATCCAAACATATTTATATTTACATCCAAACATATATATGTTTGGATGTAAACATATATATGTTAGGGTGCAAGCATATATATGTTTGCATCCGCACATGTCTATAGACATGTGCGTCCGTCCGTCTGTCCATTATAATTTGTAAACACGATACAGGTCACAATTATGGACCAATCTTCACGAAATTTTGCATGTAGTATGGATCGGTTAATATTTAGGGGATGAAATGGACCAAATACATAATTTTTGTTGGTTTTTCTGGTCGCTCCAGAGGCCGTATGACCCAAACATCTCGAATTTTTAAAATAGAGAAGGAGATTGGGCCAAAGAATAAGCATGCCTGTTTTGGTAAAGATCGGTCAATATTCAGCGGGTCAAATGAACCAAGACTTTTGTGTGAAAAATAACAATATTTGTATTCAGGAAGTGGACCGAACACTTATTTTTTCTGTTTTTTCGATTCAATCTATAGGCTACAAATATAAGCCGAAAATCACAACACATCCCACTGTGAAGGGAATATGGACAAGTAATTAGAAGGGCTGTACCGAATAATAGTAATATTCGGAACATATGTCAGGGTAAGGAAGAGGTGCTGGTGACCTCTAATCGGGCAAGAGGTTGCAACTATCGCGAAATATTACCCAGCCTCAGAATAAAAATGCACAGAAAGATAGAGTTCTGTGGTAGTTGTATTGGGTATCGTATAGTCGGCCCCGTCCGACTATACTGCTCCACTCACTGGTTTTCAAAATAAATTTTGAGTATATATTTTTGGCTTTTTAATGCGAAGCATATATTGTAAAAATGTGTAAGTTTTTTTCATTAGAAACCAACTTTTTTATGAAATCTCGTTTTTCTTTTGTAAAAAGTTTTCTGCGGCCTATTTAAAAAAATAAATTGGATTTTTTTATAAATTATTTAAAAACACTTTTTCTTACTTCACTGCTATTATTTTCCCAACGAAAATAAAACTACTAAAATCACTGACCTTTCATAGGGTGCAACATAATTATTAATAATATAAATACATCGCAAAGAAAACTTTTCATGTTCGATTTTAAATTTGAACAATTTTTAAAAAAGTTTATATATGTATATTTTTAACTATTTTGAATGTGTTTTAAATTTGTTTAACTATTTTCTTTGAAGGCCGAAAAACACAATTTTCATTATCGCTTTGTAAAATTTTGAAATAAAGACTAATAAATATGATATAAAATACATAAACATTGTGCGTCAAGCAATATGAGTCAACAGCAAAATTTTGCTGACCAGCTGAAGTTCCCTAATATTTCATTTTGGTTTATTCAATTATAATAGCAATGCACATTTTGCCATTTAGGTATAATAGTGTTGGAATTTCTAGAAAAAGTATCGCATAACTACCGATATTAACTCTTACTATAATCCATAAAAATTTATTTTTTATTATATTTTGTTTATACGTTTTTATTAATTCAGAAAATTTCGATAGGCTTTCGCAGTTTGGAATTAATATTTTACATTTTCAGTATGTATTAACCAGACAGCCAATGTATATCACTTCAATATTATTTATATTAAAATCATAAATGTAAGCATCTAATTTAATTACTTCATTCAAAATCCCCCAACATATCCTAACTATTTTTCCCACATTCTATAGGAATTTCGTACAGGTAATGATAATTATTGGATTTTCTCCATTTCCATTGAAATTGTTGATTTAAGAAAAACGGCAACACTGACCTAAAGGGGATTGCATTGAAGAAATCCAGCAAAAAACCTCGAATTATGAATGGCGTCCTAGTATTGGTGCATGTGTGTGTGTGTGCCTGCTTGTGTCTCAATTACTGTTTGTCCAACCAACCAAAAACAAAGCAAACGACCAACCAAGGGAGTATTACTAACAAAAACAACAACAAGGTAATTGCCAACCGGAGAAGAGTAGTGGGATGGTGAGTTCTCGCTCTTTCACTCTCTGTGGACGTTGATGTGTTTTTGGTGAGTAACGGAGTGTTTGTATATTTTGTGCGTTAGAGAAAATATTTTTCCATGGACAAACACACACACACATGTACACTTAGTTAACTAATCCCAAAGAGTTGTTGTGGCCTTGTTGTTGTTGTTTTACCGTTGCTTGAGAGTATGAATGGGAGTACAGGCAAGTGTGTGTGTTCGTGGTGCATGTTCCCAGCCACACAGTGGTGAAATTGTGCCACACAAAGCAAAAACAACAACAACAACGTTATAAAAACAACACCCATCATCATTTTCATTTCTCCCAATCATTGACAAGAGCCTGTGAATGGCTAAGCTAGCTGACTGCCTGCCTGCCTGCCTGTGAGCACCCTCTAAGCAGCCAGTCATGCACAAACGGACACACACACATATCACCAAACATGATCACAATGGGATTGAATTGTGCGGGTGCTTTTCCTCGTGTGTGTATGTGTGTTTTTGTTGCCATTGATGTCTTTGGGTACGGTGTGTAGAGATTTTCATGTATCCGTACTGACTCATGGCAAATGTTGTTTCAGTCACAGATTCAGTGTCTGACGTGTTACTAACGTGAACGCAACGCAAGGAGTTGTAACGCAACAAATCAGTCAGTGGCCAAAGAAATAATAATAAAAAAAATCACAAGACTAGTTTCATTACAATTAAAAAGAAAAAACCTTGTGTTTTACCTACGGCATAACGCAAAGAAAATACATAGCGTGTTTTTAAAAATAATAAAGACAAAATAAATATTTATGCGAATAATTAGAAATAAAAATAATAATTTTATTTGCAAAAAAAAAAAAAAAAAAATAAATAAATTTAAAAAAAATTATATAAAATATTGAATACAATTAAAAAAAACTGTGAAAAAAATAACGAATGTAAATTTTTATAAAAAGTGAGAAGTGCGAAAAAAAAAACATTTTACAAAAAATATAGAAACATACCGATAATTTCAATATCTAACGTTTATTGGAAATACTGAAAATAAAAAAATATCTGAATTTTCTCAAAGAAACAATACATAAGATAATGCTGAAAAAAATTTAATTAAAACCATTGAGGAAACAAATTAAAATCTGTGAAATCTAACAACATTTCCAACTTGAAAAAAAACACAACATCAACAACAAAAACTATCATCATGCATACCCTATTTACCGATCAAAATTCATTTTCCCGTCATTACGCCCAAACCGCCGGTTATCCTTCAACCGCAGCTGCTGCTGCCACAGCTGGAGCCATGACCACGGCATCGGCTGCCGCTGCTGCCCATTATGCCTATGATCAATATTCCCGTTATTCATATCCTGCCACAGCCTATGGCCTAGGAGCTCCTCATCAAAACAAGGAAATTGTCAAACCTCCCTATTCCTACATCGCTCTAATTGCCATGGCCATACAAAATTCCGCCGACAAAAAGGTTACTCTAAACGGCATCTACCAATACATCATGGAAAGATTCCCCTATTATCGTGACAACAAACAGGGATGGCAAAACTCGATACGCCACAATCTCAGCCTCAACGAATGCTTCGTTAAGGTGGCCCGTGACGATAAGAAGCCGGGCAAGGGTTCCTATTGGACTTTGGACCCCGATTCCTATAACATGTTCGATAACGGCTCCTTCTTGCGTAGACGTCGCCGTTTCAAGAAGAAGGATGTCTTACGCGAAAAGGAGGAGGCCATGAAACGCCAGGCTATGATGAATGAAAAACTAGCGGAAATCAAGCCTCTGAAAATCATGACTGCCAATGGTTTGATTGATGCCAAGCACATGGCTCATGCCCATGCCGCCCATCATGCTGCTGCTGCCCATCATGCCGCCGTTGGTCATCACTTCAAAAAGGAACCTTTGAGCATGGATTTGGGTTGCCTGACGGGCAAGGATAGCATGGCTGCCGGCTTGAGTGTTCTCAATTCCTGTCATGACAGTCTGGCACAAATGAATCACTTAACTGCCGCTGGGGCTGTGGATCACCCCGGTTTTACTGTCGATTCCCTGATGAATGTCTACAATCCTCGGCTACATCACAGCGCCTATTCCTATGCCCATCATCCATTGAATGATGAGAATCTTAGTGTGGCTGCCTCCAATCAAATGCATGCCGCTCACCATGCTGCCGCTGCCCATCATGCCCAACAATTGCGCCATCATCATCATGTTCCGCATGGCCATCCGCTAACACCCGGCGGTGCTAGTCACAATGGTGTACAATTGGGTGGCATAAGTTCGGGTACAACCACAACCACCTCATCGGGTAACTCGCCCACAACCATTTCTACACCTCATGGTCCGGCTCATGGCGGTTGGTATACCCCCGAGACACCACCCTCAGAACCCTTGAATAATTCCTCATCGGTCAATGGTACACCTACCCAACAGACAAATGGCAATAACACCAGTTTGGGTAGCAACAACAATGGAGGCCACAATTCAAATAATAACAACAATCAGCAGCATCATCATCACCATTCGACGGTAACCGGTAGCCCCAATTCCCTGTCAGCGGCCGGTCACACTTCCTTGGGTTTTCGTGATATGATCTTCGAACAGAATCAAGTTTGTCACATGGACACCGGCAGTCCGGCGGGTAGCATCCAATCGGCCAGTCCACCAGCTCCTGCCGTATCAAGTTCAGCTGTTGCCTCATCGAATGTTGCCGCTGCTGCCTTAATCAGTTCGCATCATCATCACCACCATCATCACGCTCTAAGCGGGAATTTGGGAAATCTCGGTAATCTAAGTAATCTCTCGCACTATAGGTCACATGTGGGTCATTATCAGGATTACGGTATTAAATATGGAGTTTAAGATGCCAGCGGCTAAAACTTCCTTCGTGGAAGCCGGGAAATCTTGAAGTGAACAGAAACCATAAGCAAGTTTAAGGAGATTGTTTTTAAGCTTGCGTGTGTGTGTGTTTATGCTTACTCAGACGATGGATGCTTAGGAAATCCAAAGCATTTATATTTTGTATATTTTTGTTGTAAAAAAAATCGAAAACAAAAATTTTGTAAATATTTGCAATAGGAGTCTAAATTTAAGACAAGCTAAACATCAGTTAAATATTTTCTTCTTTTCTTTGAAAAGCAGTCATTTGAGTTCGAGTAGAGGGATGTAAAGAAGGAATAATTGAATTAGACAAGAGAAAAATATTTTAAAAACTGTAAAGATATATAAAACAATATGCATAAATCATAAATTTACATTTTTTACCGACGCTGTACTCAACTTTTTTTTACTAGCAACATTTTATTAAGAATTTAATTTGAATTTTTAAATCTCATTAGAAGTCAATTTTTTAATTCCATAACAAATGTTGAGTTAATTGTTAAAAATGAAGCTAGTCTTTAGTAATAAAAGTATTTTCTTTATACCATTTTTGTGCATATGCCACGGTTCTAATTTTTGTTTATTTAAAAAACTGACGACTACATTTGAAAATAAAAATAAAACATTATTATTACACAAAAAAAAAACATTATTATTATTACACAAAAAAAAAAAACCAGTAAGGAAAGTTCAAAAGTCGGACGGGGCCGACTATATGATACCCTTCACCACTATGGGTACATGCAAGACATGTTAATATCTACAATATCCTGTAGATATAAACATTTCGCATACATCAGTCGGGACCTAATTCAGTACTCTGTGCAAAATTTTGCTTCAATCGGACCAACATTGGGAGTTTGGTGCACAATTTACCTTAAATCGGACGAAACTATATATGGGAGCTATATCTAAATCTGAACCGATTTCAACAAAACTTCGCATTCATCAATGACCTAATTTAGTACGCGGTGCAAAATTTTGTCTCAATCGGATAAATATTGGCAGTATGTTGCTCCATTTACATAAAATCGGACGAAACTATATATAGCATATTTAGATATAAATCTGAACCGATTCCAACAAAATTACTCATACATCATCATCTAAAAGGAGGCGAATATTAGTAATTTTTAGGAGGGAGGTTTGTTACCATATACGACTACAAAAAACCAAATTACAAAGAATTTGGTTGAAAAACGCGTTCAAGAACCCCAAAACACCGAAAATTGGGGGGTACCCTTATATGGGGGCTACCCGAAAAAGTGGACCTATATTTATTATTTTTAGTGGAGATATTTGCTACCTAATAAGAACTCGATGTACTAAATTAAAGTCAATTCGGTCGAAAAATACGATCAGAACCCCCAAAATACCAAAAATTTGGGAGTACCGTTATATGGGGACTACCAGAAAAACTGGAACTATATTTATAATTTTTAGTGGAATAATTTGGTACACAATAAGAACCGAATGTACAAAATTTCAGAGAATTCAGTTATAAAATGAGCCAAAGAACCCCAAAATACCGAAAACTGGGGGTACCTTTATATAAGGGCTACCCGAAAAAATGGACCTATATTTATAATTTTTTGTGGGGACATTTAGTACCCAATAAGAACCCAGTGTACCAAATTTCAGCGTATTCGGTTGAAAATCGCGCTCAAGAACCCCAAAATACCGAAAATTGGGGGGTACCCTTATATGGGAGCTATGCCTAAACGTGGACCGATTTTCTCCAATTTCAATAGGGTTCGTCCTTGGGCCAATTAAGTGACCTGTGCCAAATTTCATCCAGATCGGATCATAAATGCGACCTGTACTTTGTTAACAAAAATACATGGACGGACGGACGGACGGACGGACGGACAGACGGACAGACGGACATGCATAAATCGACTCAGAAAGTGATTCTATGCATATTCTCAAAAGGAACCATGGGTCTATCTCGATTATTTTTGCCTGTTACAAACATATGCACAAAGACATAATACCCTGTACCACAGTGTGGTGAAGGGTATAAAAATAGAAAACCAATTTAATTTTTTTTATTATTTGTTCTAAAATATCTATTTAATTATAATGTACAAAAAAAGTAACAATTGTATCGCATTTCCTCGAATTTCCTTCAAATGATTGCTAACTGTACAAAAAAAAAACAACTCATTGTATAAATATTAATTATAATTACATAAATAAGTAACAACACAAATTAAAAACATAATTTAATGTAGTTATCATTTTTTTAAATAGTATTTTTAAGATGTAATTTTAATAATAACAATAATTATAGCATAATCATAAACAAAATAATGTTATTACAAAAAACAAAAAAAAAAAAAACGATTTTTTTTGAAATTATTAAAAAAAACAGAAAAATATACGATATTAGCAAAAACACTCTGTGTATGTTAAACAAAAAAAAAATTCCCGTCTTTTAAATTTCAATATTTATTTCTAATAAAATGGCTTTGGGTGAAAAATGGAAATCAAGGGTTATTTATTAGGCCGTCATGTAGGGCCAGCTGTTATCTACAAACAAAAACCCTTTCACAATACATGTAGTTGTACTTTTTGTAGGAATTCGCCTTGTAGATGACCTGATATTTGGGCCATGGCTAAATAAATATAAGGAATTTGAATTGTTTTTTCTAATATATGGATACAACAGAAATTTGTGTAAAAATCATGGAAATATAATTTTTGAAATACTTTTGCCATGATTTTTTTAAAGAAATCTCAATATTTTATAATTTAATATTGAAGAATAGTCTGTGTTATAGTCGTTGATTTTTAAAGAATATTTCTACAGAAACATCTAAGCTATAACCTATCTTTTCAACAGACCTAAAACTTATATTTAAAAAAGAAAAAAAAAAAAAACAAGTTTTCAGCAGAGGTATAGACGCGAATCTATAAAAAATAATATTTTTCAACAGTGCTATAGAGCGAGTACGTTTTTCTTAATTGCCAAAATTATTGTCATTATTATTTGATGAGATTCGTTCAATCGTCGTTTTCAAAGAAGTAAGGTCCAATCACACCTTTGGACCGCACCAAATAGTGGATTATTCAGGATGTAATGGCCTCTCTTCAATTAATTGAGGATACTACGAATTCCAAATACATACCGCCTGTTGTCCAAGCACCCATTTCATGTATCTGCGACGTTGTGAAGGGTCTGATGGTTTCCGTAGGCGTATATATAAATGCAAAAAGGTTATCATCTGCCTTAAGACATTCCACATTCCTGAGAATAAATAGGAATAAATGTGTCAATTCCTTAGGCAGAACGGAGGAAACAACGATTCACAGGCTATACAATATTAGTAACCGCCCGCTCCGGTCTCTTCAAAATTCTTCATAATTTTGACAATTGCTTGCGTAGTAGGACGTGGGATTGTTAAGGGGTCCATTTTAGTCAATGTCAAACTTTCAACTGAAAAGAAAAAAAAAATGATTTAAAAACAAAACGGCAAATCGTTCATACTAAAAATTACCAAAATCGATGTTTTTCAATAGTGTTGGGTTTAATTCGATATTTTGAGTTCTTTCTACCAAAAATAAATTCGCTCGATCATTGGGTATATAACCGATCATTGGGTATAGCCTTCCTTCATTATTATTATTATGGCTCTATGGACATTTTTAAGCGAAGTGACTATATTTAGATATTACGAAGTGACTGTTATTTGCCATTCCGGTACTTTAGTGCCTAAACAATTTCTTCGCCGAACATTTTCCATACAGAGATCCAGCGTCATTTTCAAGCGTCATGTTCAAGGTCCTAGCCCAATTTCCTAACTTAAGTGTCTGTTGTTTGGATTTTTTTTTCTCCTGGCAGGTAATTTCCATGTCATAACCTGGTCGATTTTAGGTATTTTTAATGTACACCTCATGTTGGAGGTCCTAATATTTAATTATTTACAAATTTACAGATGTCCGTATGCGTGTTTTCCTGGCTGTTGCGCACGATAACTCTCGAACGGAGCTACCCATTCAATCCAAACTTTATATTATATATTATATTTTTTATTTATAATAGCATGCGAACAGTATCGGATTTTAAAGAAACTGTGTACAACCTAATATCTTTACCAAGCCTAGATAAAAATCCGAAAATGGGACCCATTGGTCCACTTCTTCTGGTACCTACCCCACGAATGGTGAAAATGTTCAATATTTATTAATCCTATATCAGGCGAATGGAATTTCCAATTTGAACCAAACTTTGCACAACCTATTATCTTTACCAAGACTAAATCAAGTTCGAAGGAGGAACCCGTCTGCCTCCGTCCTCGAAAACGCAAACCATATTAGGGTATATATCTGGCAGCAACACCGACTGACACTTTTTTTAGTTGTTTAAAAATATATTTTAATGTTTTTTTCAAAAACTTTTGAATGCAAATCGAAATTATCCGAATGGATTTTTATTGTAATAAGTAAGGTCAAAAATATTAGGTTATGGGAAAAGAAATCAATTATTTTTATATGAAATATAGGACTTTAATTAACATGCTTCGGAATGTCCGATTTGGGCCGTTTTGTTGTATGATTTGTTGCCATTTTAAAGGTAACTTCTTAATGTCACTCTCTTATAAGTCCTGTTGTCTATTTGCAAAAAAACTCTAGTAGTCGATTTTCACAATCCTCCCTAGATACCATTTTTTATCTTTAAAGAAAATTTGCAATGCAAGAAAATCAGATCAGATTTAGATAAAGTTCCCACATATAGTTTCGTCCGTTTTTATGTAAATGGTGCACCAAACTCCCAATAATTGTCCGATTAAGACAAAATTTTGCACATCGTATCAAACTAGGTACTGTTTGATGTCTGTGAAGTTTTATGAAAATCGATTCAGATTTAGATATAACACCCATATATAGTATCGTCCGATTTTATACAAATGGTTCACCAAACTCTAAATAATTATCCGACTGAGGGGACATTTTGCACAGAGTACTAAATTAGGTCCTTA